CAATTCCCACGGAGATATCCCGGATACCCTACATACCCCACTGTTGGCGGTAAGTACCTACTAAACATGACTAGAGTATAAAAATATAGCTTTTCCTTAACATTTGTATTTAACATCGATCATGAATAATGTTCTTAAATATTACTAGATGGATTTTTCCGCTTTTCTTTACATTCTATATAACTTTGATCATGCTTAGTATAATTAGCATTCGCAGAGTCTAAAATGAATGGTTTATTGCATGTATAACATAACTTACAAATAATGTTTCTAAGCATTGTATTTGCTATTCACAGAAAGAATGATGTACAGGTTTTGTTTTGCATGCTGCCAAATAGAAACACATACTTCGGTCGTGTGATGATCTGTATGTCTTGATTTATATAGACAGTAATGTTCAAGAATAATAACTCAATACCTTATGTTCAACAGGTTATTGATAACCGTGATTTACACACATCTGGATGGATTAAGGAGAGCCGGCCTGAACGAATGAAGCTGAGATACAGAAATGTGTGTGCATCAGTGATCACTTTCATCCAGATTTCCCGAACAAATCCAAAGCTTACCTCACCTGTTTGACGTTACATGTGTTGTGTGATACCTTACTTGTGTGATCTCATTTATGTTGTACAATTAAAGTATAAAGCATTTTTATAATAAATATTTTTCTTACAATTATATCAATGCTTCGATTGTCATTTTAAACAATGAATTGCTTGTTCATTTTTATCCAAAGTATCAATGATGTAAAATACGTTTCAATGAATATTAGAAAATTGGTTATCATATTCTTATATTACCGTGAAGTGGGTAAATTTTGATGCAAACAATTTTTCGATTTGAATGTTACCGACCTATCATATATCCGAGTTTCTGTATTTTTTGTTGCCAAGCTACATATGAATCATCGTTTATCTACCGTAGTATATTTTACAGTATAGCAATGTAAAGAGTAAAATGTTGATCCAAGTTTAATCCGAACAAGCAAAAAACGCTCATGTAGTCTTACGCCGTATTTCGCCTGAGAGTTACTTAATTAAATAAACTCATTGTATTGCCAATGTAATTAGCGATGGGATTGGGCACAACTTGAACAACCCATATGAAGTCCTTTCCCTGATACAGGATACAGGATACAAATCTACTATGTCAGACCCTTAACAGTTTGATAAAAAAATGCTTTGGCTGCAAGTTATTTGTATTAAGACAAATCGTTTATGTTTACCGTGTAACATAATAAATGACAACTGGAGAAAAGATTCTGATTACCTTGAGATTAATAGTCCAATATAGTACAACCAATCAGCTTGTCACGTAAACGATAACTAGAAATAGAAGTAAAGAAACACATGTTAATTTGTTTAAGGTCGACGTAGAAACCCCAAAAAAGAAATCAATTACTGCATCAAACGGTCATCCTGTCCATATTAGTATAATTTGTCAGCGAGTTATTAAATTTCAACGAGAACTGAGAGGACACTAAAAAACCCAGAAGACACCATGAATCGGTTATACATGTGAGACTTTTTTTTGTCATTTCCAGAGGTGCAACTAGGGAAATTCTACTCAAGAGGTTTTCAAATGAATTGAATCCCAAGGCTTGCCGAGGGTTTTGTACCAATTTGAGAATATCGAAGGTAGAGTTTCCCTTTTCTACAACACCACAGGGCATGAAAGAGTATTTCTCTCTCATTTTAATCACTATAATAACTCAGGAGTCATGAAACGGCGTCGCAATTTCCGCAATGCAGCATCGGAATGTCCCCAATGTCTTGACTTTGCAGACACTAGCAGCTCTTCAAGGACATGAAACACGAAATCATTATCAAAGTTCATCACAATGAATAATTCACTTTATGAATGAAGGAGGCCATCCAAATAAGACACCAGGCGACCGTGAAGAACCGTGAAATGGTGGTGTACAGGCTCGGTACCATCTCCAACCACCTGTTCGATCTGCTACTGCGTAGTGTAAGTAGTCCTGCTTTTGCTTGACCATTCGTCCAGTGATTAGGAAGATAGCACTGTCGTGAAACTGTGTGGTACTTTCTTTCAATAACTTAGTAGTGAAAAAAGGAGTTATACTCAATGTACTTTTAATCGGTGAATTAATGCTGTGACTCCCCGAACAATCCCATTCCGGCGTAGTGATTTGTGTCAGTGTCTCAAGAAACTGACTACATTAAGTTAATAAATGTAGCACAACAGCTTTCGTGATAGGTAACCTTTCAGGTTCAGCAGTCATGGGAAGATAATGCTACTGTCCTTGCTTACAGATGTTATCGATATCAGCTCAGCGCTGTTTAAATTACTATGCTTAAATCCATCCCACCCTATAACGTTGTGGGCAATTACGCATTTTTTAATGTTGTATTTGCTGGATACAGAAGTGATAACAAGTATATATCAAAGTACTGAAAGTACTGTCTTTTAGCGTGTTCGTCACTTTGCTTACTAACCCTATAAGTTTATTAGCGTATATTTTATTTTCATTTCAAATGATGGTATATCTACGTTAATTAATAAGTCTCCTTGCAAATTGACTCGAAAAGTCTTTTCTC